GGCAGTTGCATGACGATTTGGTAAAAAAATTGCCTGCAACTAGTGATGATGTGAGTGAATTTAAGTCTAGCAAAGGCTGGTTTGAGAGATTTAACCCTTTCAGGGTCCAAGGCCAAAATCTGAAGTCACGCACCAGTGTCCAAGAATTTAAAAAAAAAAAAATTTGTTATTTTTTCTTATGAAACCATAGAGAATCTTTTTGTGAAGGTAATAAAACAAAAAGTACGAAATTTGGTGGAAAATTGACGAAATTATGCTCTCGCGAATTTTGATGTGTCAGCGATATTTACGAGTCGGCGATTTTGCCGACTTTGACTCCCATTTTAGGCCAATTACATTATTCCAATCAACCAAATTCTTAGCTATTTCACTAGTATTACTTCTATTCTATCGATTGAGCACAAGAAATCGCCAAATCAACTGTTTCAACTACAAAATAAAGTGATTGGAAATTGTTAATTTGGCCAATTTAACACAAAGTTCAAAATATTCCAATTTCAAAATAGGCTCCAGAATAAACAATGTAGGCATTCCTGGCACTAAACTAACATTTCCTCTGTTCATTAGTTACATTTTGAGGCTTTACAAATAAATTCCATTTTGATTTTTTATTCACATAATGAATTTTTATTCACACCAAAAAATAGAAGATTTACTGTTATGCAATACTGTAATAATTGTATAAATATCATCACCATATTTGTGAATGTATATTAGACCCACCAGCTGACGTGTATTAGATGTGTGAGGTCGTTTGTTTACTCTTGAACATCGGCAAAAATTTAACATTTCCGCTACTTTGAGCTCAGTTTCAAGCCATTTCCAGTGCTAAAACCAATCAAAATCATCTCTATTTCTGTAATATGTCTTCCATTCTATCAAATGAGACCAAGAAATCGCAAATACAACTATAAAAAACAAACGAAAAAACACTGCAAAGTCGCTGTTTTAATCGAAAAATCATGATTTCAGTTTTTTTCTCTCATTATACACAGTGTGCTGCAGGATCTGTTTTATGTGGTGCACACATACCACATAGATGTATTCTCTCATATCTAGGCCCAAATGTACCACTCACAGTTTATCAGAGTGAGCTGAGCTCATGGCGTAGATCTACGGTTTGGACACTCACCGTAAAGCCGTAGATCTACGGGACGGACCCTGAAAGGGTTAAGAAGCGTACTGGCATACACAGTGTGGTAAGGCATGGTGAGGCTGCCAGTTCGGACCACAAGGCGGCTGAAAAATATGTGCATGAATTCCAGGAGTACATAAACAGTGAAGGACTGAAACCTGAACAAGTGTTCAATTGTGACGAAACAGGCCTCTTTTGGAAGAAAATGCCAAAGAGGACCTTCATTACACAAGAGGAAAAGGCAATGCCAGGACACAAGCCTATGAAAGACAGGCTGACGCTAATGTTCTGTGCTAATGCTAGTGGGGATTTCAAAGTGAAGCCGTTACTAGTGTACCATTCTGAAAATCCCAGAGTGTTCAGGAAAAACAATGTTATGAAGAGTAAATTGTGTGTGTTTTGGAAATCTAATAGTAAGGCATGGGTCACGAGGGAAATTTTTGTACAGTGGTTCAACGAAATGTTTGGCCCTAGTGTGAAGAATTACCTCCTGGAAAAGAAATTGGATCTCAAGTGCCTCCTAGTAATGGACAATGCACCTGCTCATCCTCCAAACTTGGATGACCTAATTCTGAAGGAGTTTGGGTTCATCACAGTAAAGTTCTTGCCCCTGAATACCACTCCTCTCCTCCAACCCATGGACCAGCAGGTCATTGCAAACTTTAAAGAACTCTACACCAAAGCAATGTTTGAAAGGTGCTTGAATGTGACCTCAGACACTCACTTGACCCTACAAGATTTTTGGAAAGAACATTTCAGTATTTTCCATTGTGTAAGCCTTATAGGTAAGGCTTGGGAGGGAGTGACTACCAGGACTTTGAACTCTGCTTGGAGAAAATTGTGGCCAGATTGTGTCCACAAGAGGGATTTTGAAGGGTTTGGGGCTGACCCTGATGAGCCTATGTCAGTTGTTAAATCCATTGTGGCACTGGGGAGTTCCATGGGGTTGGATGTGAGTTTGGAGGATGTGGAAGAGTTGGTGGAGGACCACAACAAAGAGCTAACAACTGAGGAGCTGCAAGAGCTTCAGCAGGAACAGCAACAGATGGCAGCTCTGAATCTTGCTGCAGAGGAGGAGGAAGAGAGATGGAGGAAGGTGCCTTCTTCAGAAATTAAGGAGATTTTTGAAATGTGGGGTAGGATGGAAAGATTTATGAAGAAACATCACCCAGAGAAGGATGTTGCAAGCCATATCGGCAACTTGTACAGTGACAGAGTCTTGGCCCATTTTAGGGAAGTTTTAAAGAGACGCCAGAAACAGAGCTCTATGGACAGTTTTTTTGCGAGACAGGACTCCAGTGACTCTCAAGGTGGTCCTAGTGGCATTAAGAAACAGAGAAGAGAAGTAACCCCAGAAAAGCAATTGGTACCCAAGGTGTTGATGGAAGGGGATTCCCCTTCCAAACAGTAATTCATCCAATCAGTCTCCTTCTCCAGTCTTCCATACACAAAGAAGAATCGCCAATAAAGGTAAGTGTTATTCTGTTAATGTTTAATTCATCATGTGCCACTGTATTGTTTATGTACTACATCTATATTTCATGTAAAAAAATTTTTGTTTTAATACTTCTGGGTGTCAGGAACGGATTAATTGAATTTACATTATTTCTTATGGGAAAAATTGATTCGTAAATCGTCCATTTCGATAATAGTCCCACTTCCAGGAACGGATTACGGACGATTATTGAGGGACCACTGTACAAGAAAAGATTTTGTTCGGATCTTTTAAGCAGGAGTTATCACCTAGGATAACCCAGTAAAGTCAGCGTGTCATCAGAAACCGTCTTGTCTTATTTTCATTATGGTCATTAAATCTTGTCGCCCAGGATGCGACCCACACCAGTCGACTAACACCCAGGTACCTATTTTCTGCTAGGTGAACAGGACAACAGGTGTAAGGAAACGCGTCGAAATGTTTCCACCCGCTGGGAATCGAACCTGGACCCTCTGTGTGTGAAGCGGGAGCTTTAGCCACCAGGTCACCCTAGTTAGATTAGGTTAAGTTACATTAAGTTTTATATACATAATAATAATATCTTTATTTACTTCATGCCTTTTGGGCAAATTAGGTCCTCTTCCCAGGATGCGACCCACACCAGTCCACTAACTCCTAGGTACCTATTCTACTGATGGGTGAACACAGACATCCAGTGTAAAGAAACCCACCTAATGTTTCTACCCATACTGGGAATCGAATGCAGACCCTCACCGTGTGAAGCGAGAGCTTTAGTGATCAGGCCACGGGGCACCAACAGGGCACCGTCTCATATGTACATGTACTTAAAACACTATAGGCCTTATAGAAGGCTTAAGCTTGCCCAAAATGCCCTGCATAAATAATGGGCATTCCATGTGACTGATCCCATGCAATGTCATAAAACTTTCAACAAACATCAAATGGAAATAAACTATTACTGTTAGGTGGGTCTCATTTCATTTGGTTACATTTTTTGTAATTTGCACAACAAAGTGCAATCTCAACTATGCACCAACCTGGAAAAGACCCCAATGGAAATAAGTCACTGACTTTTCTGGGTTATCCTGGGTTCTCTACACATGTGATGCTATGTATGATAATTTATGTTAACACATACGCTGCTATGATATCTATGTTAACACACATGCTGCTATGATAATCTGTTAACACATACGCTGCTATGATATCTATGTTAACACACATGCTGCTATGATAATCTGTTAACACATATGCTGCTATGATAATCTATGTTAACACATATGATGCTATGATAATCTATGTTAACACATATGCTGCTATGATAATCTATGTTAACACATATGCTGCTATGATAATCTATGTTAACACATATGATGCTATGATAATCTATGTTAACATATATGATACTATGCATAATAATCTATGTTAACACATATGATACTATGTATAATAATCTATGTTAACATATGATGCTATGTATGATAATCTATGTTAACACACATGCTGCTATGTATGATAATCTATGTTAACACATATTTCTATGTATAATAATCTGTTAACATATTATGCTATGTATGATAATCTATGTTAACACATATGCTGCTATGTACGATAATCTATGTTAACACATATGATACTATGTATAATAATCTATGTTAACACATATACTATGTATAATAATCTATGTTAACATATGATGCTATGTATGATAATCTATGTTAACACATATGATACCATGTATAATAATCTGTTAACATATTATGCTATGTATGATAATATGTTAACACATATGCTGCTATGCATGATAATCAATGTTAACACACATGTTATTTATGATAATCTATGTTAACACATATGCTGCTATGCATGATAATCAGTGTTAACACACATGTTATTTATGATAATCTATGTTAACACATATGATGCTATGTATAATAATTTATGTAACTGTATCTATATATCTGAATAAATTTACTTGTTAAAACTTATGCCATAGGTAATACCCGAGATTACTAAATAACAATTATAAACTATTACCCATTTTTCCATTTTATGTAAACTAATATATGTTGGAAGTTACAAAGATGATATAGTAGCATATTATTATTATGATTATTATTATTATAAGAGTAGTGATGCTGTGTCAAGCTTCTGTTATCTCAGGTTCCTCAGATCCAGATCTCTTGGTTTAATTAGATTTTCGTAAAAGCTTATCAAACTTGATTTCGTTATATTGTTCTATTACATTATTTTATTGGACCAATTATGTGGTGGCTCTTCACTATGTATTAACCAAGTAATCAGCTGGGATATTTTTTTTTTACACCAGAAAGCGTCAGAGACGAGAAAATAAAAATATATATGTACAGGAGTGATGTGTCTGGCAAGATAATGTAGTTAAGTGTTCACCTGAGAGGTGGTGCCAGCTGGCACTGACCAGCTGGCACTGGTCTCCATGGCTCCTCACAAACTCTCACACCTTCAACACCAACAAAATAATTCCGTCGGCCATTTCATCTTTTTTACCCGAGTGTTTGAGCAGCATGGTCAGGTGAGAGCCACGGCCGGCCGCCACCCACCATCCTCCTCTAATGGCAGCCGAGTCAAGATTGGCAGATAATTATTGGCGCCAAAGATGAAAAGTTACCTGAGATTGGAGGAAATAACGGCGGGTACAGATTGGTCAGGAGGAGCCAGTCAGCAGCGGCGGGAGCAGCCTACACGCAGCCATTGGTGCTCCCACACCACACATTACCCACTCATATCTCACACATTAACCTTCTCTCACACTCTACCTCACACTCTACACTCATTAACTCTTAATTAACTCGTAGTTGTCGCCAGGCAGGAAAATAATATATAGTATAGTTTAATATATGGAGAGTTAAGGCAGTAGAAGAGGAGAGTTATTCAGCCTCTGATAACTATCGTACATCATCAACAACCTTCTCCCAGTAATAACTATATTTTATTTTCATAAATCTCATAAATATATATACTATATATATGTGGTGCCGAATAGGTAAAACTGGTCAGTTAACAAGAACTCGTTTAAAATTAAGTCCTTTCTAATATTTTCTCTTATACGTTTAAAGATATATATTTTTTTTCATTTACGCTAATGTAAAAATTAATAATTTTGTACCAAAAGAACCTTAGAAAACTTACCTGACCTTATTATAACAAGCGCAATTTAATTTAGCCTAATCCAACTAAATATATTTTACATAGGTTTACAGGAAGCCTGGTCACAGACCGGGCCGCGGGGGCGTTGACCCCCGGAACTCTCTCCAGGTAAACTCCAGGTAAACTCCAGTAATTTAGTAATAAACAAACATAATGAAACTTTTTTTTCCTTCGGTTCAGAATGATTTTTACAAAATTATTTCATAAACAAATTTTCGCTTACCTTATTCGGCAAGAAGAGCGCTGTTTAAACCAAAGTCGCATTTTACTTATTCGGCAGGACATGTAGTCAAGTCAGTACCTGACCAGCCAGGCTGTGGTTCGTACGTCTGGTTGCATGTGGCCAGCAGTAACAGCCTGGTTGATCAGGCCCTGATCCATCATGAGGCCTGGTCACAGACCGGGCCGCGGGGGCGTTGACCCCGAAAACCCTCTCCAAGCATATACCTGGAGAGGGTTTTCGGGAACACCACCCCCGCGGCCCAGTCTGCGACCAGGCCTCGTGGTGGATCAGGGTCTGGTCAACCAGGCTGTTACTGCTGGCCACACGTAAACCGATGTACGAACCACAGCCCAGCTGGTCGGGTATTGACTTTAGGTGCCAGTCCAGCACCTTCTTGAAGACAGCCAGGGGTCTATTGGTAATCCCCCTTATGTATGCTGGGAGGCAGTTGAACAGTCTTGGGCCCCTGACACTTATTGTGTTGTCTTTTACTGTGGTAGTGGCACCTGGAGTTTACCCTTGCTTTTCACTGGGGATATGTTGCATCCTCTGCCGAATCTTTTCCTTTCATAGGGAGTGATTTTCGTGTGCAAATTTGGTACTAATCCCTCTAGGATTTTCCAAGTATATATTATTATGTATCTCTCTCGCCTGCATTCCTGGGATCACAGGTTGAGGAACTTGAAAAGTTTCCAGTAATTTAGGTGCTTTATTGCACTCATGTGTGCCAAGAAGGTTTTCTGTACATTTTCTAGGTCAGCAATTTCACCTGTCTTGAAAGACGCTGTTAGTGTGCAGCAATATTCCAGTTCAGATAGAACAAGCGACCTGAGGAGTGTCATCATGGGCTTGGCATCCCTAGTTTTGAAGATTCTCATTATCCATCATGTCATTTTTCTAGCAGATACGATTGATACAGTGTTGTGGTCTTTGAAAGTGAGATCCTCTGACATTATCACACCCAGGTCTTTCACATTAGCTTTCTCGCTCTTACTGTGTGGTTTGTATTTGTTTTACACTCCGATATAGTTTTAATTTCCTCACATTTTCCATATCGGAGTAATTGAAATTTCTCATCACTGAACTTCATATTGTTTTCTGCTGCCCATTTAAAGATTTCGTTGATATCCCCCTAGAGTCTTGTAGTGCCTTCAATGGAGGACACTGCCATGCAGATTCGGGTGTCATCTGCAAAGGAAGACACGGTGTTGTGGCTTACATCCTTGTCTATGTCAGATATGAGGACGAGGAACAAGACTGGAGCGAGTACTGTGCCTTGTGGAACAGAGCTTTTCACTGTAGCTGCCTCAGACTTTACTCTGTTCACTACTACTACTCTTTGTGTTCTGTTAGTTGGGAAATTATAAATCCATCTGTGTGTGATGAATGGTTTTGAAAATCGACAAGTTGAAGATTGAGACAGTTATGCAACATATGGGAATCTTTATTGAGGAAACGTTTCTCCACACAGTGGCTTCATCAGTCCAATACAAAGCAGAAAGGTATAAGGAGAGGAGGAGTTTGAAGTAATCAGTCCCTCAGCCTGGAGTTGATGTGTTCAGTCCATCAATCTTGTAGAATGTACAGCATAGGGCCGTAGACGTGGCTTATATACTGTAGTTGCCGGGTCTCCATCTGGAGAAGACCCGGGCCGGAAGTACCGGAAAATCATTAATGAATAAATGAATGCTGTAGTCAGGTGAGGCGAAGCAGGAGGAGGCGGGGTCATAGTGGTACCATCCACTAGTCGAAGTAGGTCTTCGTCCAAAGGTTGGACAAGTTTTGAAGAATTCCTTGTATCATAGATCCATCTACCAACTTTTCTTATTATTCCCTTATCACGCATTTTGTGTGCAATTACACCATGGTCACATTTGTCAAAGGCTTTTGCAAAGTCTGTGTATACTGTTTCTCCATTTTGTTTGTCTTCTAGAGCATCCAGGATCTTGTCATAGTGGTCCAGTAGTTGGGACAGGCAGGAGCGAAGTGCTCTTAACCCATGTTGCCCTGGGTTGTGTAACTGATGGGTATCTAGATGGGTTAGGACCCTTTCAAAGATTTTTATGATATGGGATGTTAGCGCTATCGGTCTGTAGTTCTTTGCTATTGCTTTACTGCCCCCTTTGTGGAGTGGGGCTATGTCTGTTGGTTTTAGCAGCTGTGTGGCCACCCTTGTGTCCATGCTCCCTCTCGACAGAGTTCCATGAGTCTGGGCCTAGGGCAGAGTGCATGGACATGTCATTTATCGCCTTTTCGAAGTCATTTGGCGTCAGGATAATATCAGATAGGTTTGAGTCTACCAAATTCTGTGTCTCTCTCGTAAAAAGTTCATTGAGGTCTTCGACTCTCAGTCTGGTTAGTGGCTAGCTAAAAACCGAGTCACACTGGGACTTAAGTAGTTCACTCATTTCCTTGCTGCCATATGTGTAGGACCTATCTCGTCTAAGTAAGGGTCCAATACTGGATGTTGTTCTCGACTTTGATTTGGCATAAGAAAAGAAATATTTTGGTTTTCTTCCAATTTCTTTTATGGCTTTTAGTTCTTCCCGCATTTCTTGACTCCTGTAAGATTCCTTTAGCTTAAGTTCGATTTTGCTATTTTTCTGACCAGTGCCTCCCTATGTATTACACATATACATTATTGGCCTCTTTAAGCCGCTCTGCTATTCTATGCCTTCGCCTGTATAGGGAGCGCCTTTCTGTTTCTAGTTTACATTTTCTATTCCTTTTCCTTAAAAGAATATGCCTTGAGCATACCTCGAGTGCCACAGAATTAATTTGATCTAGACACAGGTTTAGGTCCGTGTTGCTTAGGCTGTCTTCCCAGTTTATATCATTTAGGACCTGGTTGACTTGGTCCCACCTTATGCTTTTGTTACTGAAGCTGAATTTGGTGAAGGCTCCCTCATGACTGATCACATTTTGTTGGTCTGGGACCCTGAACATACATGTCTGAACCTCTAATATGTTGTGATCTGAGTACATTGCTTTTGATATGGTAATATTTTGTATCAGATGATCATTGTTAGTGAAGATGAGGTCTAGTGTATTCTCCAATCTTATAGGCTCTATTATTTGCTGGTTTAAGGAGAATTTGGTGCAGAGATTTAAAAGCTTGTGTGTGTGTGAGTTTTCATCTGAGCTGCCTCCTGGTGTTATCTCTGCTACAACATTATTTGCTACATTTCTCCGGTTTAGGTGCCTTAGGTTGAAATCCCCCAGGAGCAAGATGTTTACCTGGAGTTTAACCTCTCATTTTATATACATTTAAGAACTACTTAATAATATATGTCTAGTTCTTAAGTAGTTTTTAAACAATAGGATTAGTTTGCCCAAAATGTACTGCATGCTAGTGGTTTTATTTTGCGCCTAACGCTATTTAATTTCATGTGAACCACATTTATTTATTTATTTATTTATTTAATAATTTGAACATACAGAGGTACAAAAATTACAGGTAAGAGCAGCATGCCAAAGCCACTTATATGCATAGCATTACGGGCTGGCTTAAAATTAACTTAAGATTAACTAAGCGATGAGGAAATCAGTGATAAGACATTATTGTAAACAGATAACTATAAAGCACAAATGAGTATTACAAAGACAGGTCATATGGTTGCATGCATTGCTGTTCATTCAGTAGAATGGAGTATTCTGTTAGGTAGTGTATTTAAAAAATAACAAAGTTAGATTGGGTCTTAGGTTTAACATTTATGTGATATAATTGTGAGAAACATTTAAGATATACAATTTATAAGGTTCAGTTATTCAGTATTTATTTGGTTTTGGGTGAGTAAGTGATCTTTGAGAAGAGACTTGAATTTATAAACAGGTAGTGTTTCTTTAATATTTACAGGTAATGAATTCCAGATTTTAGGGCCTTTTATGTGCATTGAGTTTTTGCATAGTGTGAGATGGACACGAGGAACATCAAAGAGTGATCTGTGCCTTGTGTTATGGCCATGTGTCCTGTTGAGGTTGGTAAGGAGATGTTTGAGGGGAGGGTTACTATCAGAGTTAAGTGTTCTATGTATGTAATAGGTGCAGTAATAAGTATGGATGTTTTGTATGGTGAGTAGATTTAGTGTTTTGAATATTGGTGGAGTGTGCTGCCTGTAGTGGGAATTTGTTATCATTCTGACTGCAGCCTTTTGTTGGTTAATTGGTGG